CACAGTCTCCAAGAACCCAGAGTGACCTCTCCATTGCAATGGATCACCAGGGTAGTACTTCAAAAATATGTCTATGGAATACTATTGTGCTATAAGAAATGATGAACAGGCTGACTTCAGAAAAACCTGGAAGACTTGTATGGTCTGATGCTGAGTGAAGTGAGCAGAACCAAGAGAACATCGTACACAGTAACAGCCACGTTGTGCAATGACTAATATTGATAGACTTAACCCTTCTCAGCAATACAAGGATCTAAGACATCTCCAAATGTCTCATGATGGAAAATGCTATCCACATCCAGAGAAAGAACTATGGAGTTTGAATGGAGATCGAAGCATACTATTTGCTATTTTTTTTTCTTCTGTTGTGTTTTGTTTCCTCTTTCTGGTGGTTCCTCCTATTGGTTCTAATTCTTACTTACAACATCACTAATGTGAAAATATGTTTAATAGGAATGTGTATGTATAGCTATATCAGATTCCTCGCTGTCTTGGGGAAAGAGATGGGGAAGGAGGGGGAGAAAAATTTAAAACTCAAAAGCCTATGGAAGTGATTGTTGATAATTCAAAATAAATTAATTAAAGAAAAAAGAAAAAAAGAAATATATGTAATTGTGAAAACTGAAGAAAAAAATAGTGTATAATCAAGAGACAGATTTCGTGAACACTGATCATCAGTCCTACAGGATGTCTTAAAATATTTGATTTATTAAACCCAAGGAAGGGAGGGATAAAACCTTGGAACATTTCATAAATTTGCATATCTAGTGCTTCTAGTTTTTAACATCATGAAAGCTCCTTTCTCCACATTTCACTTGAATGTCTGGGATAGGGAGAAATATATGTGAGACTCCATGTCCTCAGATCACAAGGTACTCATGATTCAGCTTCTGTGTATTTGGAAAGGAAAACTTCAAATGGCAACTGTCACCAAGTGAGAAGTAGGTAACAGGCTGCAGCCTCTCATAAAGAAATTTTTTTTAAACAAATGGTTTCAGACCAGACATGAGTTTCTTTGTTTTTCCCAAAAAAATGTTTTTAATTCCAACATCCATCTCAATGGCAACTGATACAATTCATATAGCCAACAACACTACATAAAAATGGAGACCAATGATTCTAGATAAAACCATAATATTTTCAAAGCAACATTTAAAGCAATCAAATAGGAAAATAATTGTTACAGTACATATGCTTTCACATATACAAATGCCAGAAAGAGAAACCTAACAAACAAATACAAAAGCTGTCAGGTAAAATTGTTTCATTTAACTAGCAATACTTAGTAAGAAAAAACATTTAAAGAGGGCAGCTAGGTGGTGCAGCGGATAGAACACTGGTATCGGGAGGATCTGAGTTCAAATCTGGCGTCATACACTTGACACTTATTAGCTGTGTGACCCTAGGCAAGTCACAACCCCAGTTGCCTCACCAAAGGAAAAAGAGAAGAAAGAAAAAAAGAAGAACATTGAAATTCAACATTAATAATGTAATAAATTAGGTTTTAGATCTTATTTATTGTTAAATAAGATTTATGGCATTGCCTAAAGCAGAATTCTGGTTTATTGCAAAATCTGTCCACTTAAGCTTAATTTTATGAACTAAAATTGAAACAGGTATACAGAACCTCTTTAGAACACAATTTCCCACACTGGGATTTGGGAATAACAGGAAGTGAATAGAGCAGAAGAAAGAACCAGGGTCTAATTCTGGTTCTGCTACTATTTATATGATCTTTGCAAGTCCCTTAATTTCTATGGGCCTTAGTTTAAATATTTAAAGTCAAGTGCCAATGATCTCTAAAGTTTTCTCACTATAAGGCAATTATAAGAAAGTTCTAGAGTTGTGTTTTCAAAGCAGTCCTGGGGCAGACGGTATGTTTAAAATTTATCTTTTAAATTTGCAGATGTCATGTGAGTAAACAGAAAATAAACCATAGTTTAATAGCTCAAAATGTTCTCATGAGTCCATGTCTTTCTGATAAAAACTGGGAAATTAATTTCCATTGAGAGTTCCGAATCCAGCACTAAATTTAAATTCTGTTTTCTTAAAATCTATTGAATTATTTTCCCCAACCACTATCATGCATCTTCCTGGGTCAGAGCTTTTCAGGAAGCACTTTTAAAGGAAAATTAGCTGATTACAAGAACCAGAGAAACAGTGATGCCAAACTGATCCTGGCTTTGGATGACTCCAATGAGCTACTAAGGGATGAGGATGAAGACTCTTGTAGGATTCTCCTGACATGAACATGCATGTGCACACAAACAGATATGCTGATTGTTAAGGTTACCAGATGTCCTCAATTTTAAGGTACAGCTCCTAATTTTCCCCTGTCCCCAGCTGCAGCTTATCCCTAGTAATCTGGCTTTCTGCCAAAGCAACTGCCCTTGGGAGGAGGGAGGAGCAAAACAGAGAGGAGCTTCCCTTGCCTGCAAGGGGCCATGTGGTTATTTTGAACTCTGGGGTGGGTGAAGAAGGTCTCACCCTGCCCCTACTCAATGATATTCATTCTGATCTTACTACTCTCTTGGTTGAATAATTCTTTGCACACTTCAAATGTGTCAGGTCCTGAATATCTGATCTGAATACATTTGCAGCTAGTTGCACAAACCATCTAACTTACATATTTCAATTATGGCTTCTTGAATGACACACACAAATTTGTAAAACTACACACAAACACACACACACACACACGAGTGAGTATATATGTGTGTGTACATATATATGCATATGTATATATCAGAGTGACCCCCATATTGTCTAGACCAATAGTTCTCAAACTTTTTGATCTCAAGACCACTTTACAGTATTAAAAATTACTGAGCACCCTCACCACCAAAGAACTTTTGCCTAGGTGGGTTATATCTATAGATATTTACCATCCTGGAAATTAAAATTTAGTACTATCATGAAAATAGTTTTGATCTTGGGTTCCTGGACCACACTTTGATAACCACTGGTCTAGCTCTGCCATCCTCCACCACAAAAAAAAAAAAAAAATGGTAGCCTTGTTCTATATGGCCTATCTCACATCAAATCAGCAAATTTGTTCAGAAAAAGAAGAGAAAGAAAATCTGTTTTTGGGAAGCCACCTGAAAACTTTCATGAACTACTATCCCCTCCTCCTTTTCATGATATATCAATGACTTCTGTCTATAAAGAAGAGAATGATTTTTGTTATGCACATAGTGTCTGCTCTGAGCCAAAGCTTTAGTAACATGGTGCCAAACATTCTGTTCTTTCCTTGTATCTTCACCATCACAATCATGCATTTAAGAACCACTGTACAGAAAACATATGGAAAAGGGACAGAGGACAATGTAATTCTGGGAATTAGTAAAGTTTCTAACTTGTTTTAATACTATACACTAATAACAAGTTGAGGAAGAGGCTTACTACAAGGACATTATCAAAGAAATTGATTGTTATTAATCCACTACTTAATGAACCCCAACAGTATACTAGAGGGCAGCTGTATTTAGCAAACACTTTGGCAAGGTGAAAAGCATAAAAGGGTTTCAAAGCTGAGTTTCTCTCAAATGTTATAAAGTAAGTTTACTTTCAGTACAAGAAATAATAAACAGACAGATGGTGGCAGTGAAATGGTATCATCTTTAAATGGTTCCATCCCTAAGGGACTGTATTTAAGGAGGTTCTGTACCTTACACTAATCGTGGCAAGCCAAATTACTTAATAATCACAGCTCTTTCAAACCTTGTAAAAAGTTGCTTCATCAATTTAAAGTCAGTACTACACAGGAGCTCAGTTTGAGAAGAGCTGGCAGTATTTTAGTGCTAATTACCCAGAGCAGATGTTTGTAATCCTGGAGTTGACAACTAAGCAAACGCTCTTCTCAAAGCCTCCCTAATAGTCCAAAAACGACCTATCAATAATTTGGTCCTACCAAACACTAGACTTATCAAGCAGTAATTAAATAGCAATCGAGGTTAACATGTAAAAGTACCCAACACCATGGGCAAAGATCCAAATAAATGTCACCCCAACGCCTTAATACCAGAAGCTGGCCTAGTTCCAAATCAGCACCAGGAATCTTGGTCCAGACTAATGTCTAAGATTTCTTGATCAACTGGCTAAGTTTCAGGGACAAATTGGGGACTGGGGTAAGACAGGTGGATGGTGGAAAAGCATGTACATATCTTCTCTGCAGGGATTCTAAGGCTGTGGCTCCGTGTCCATCCTGAGGGTCTGAAGTGCTACCAACTGGACTATCTCAATCACTTTTTGAATTCTCTAACCAAAGACACCTAAGGGCTAGGCCACACTCAGACTGAAAAAGAGTTGGACTACAGTTTCTTGGGGTAAAATGAGTGGAATACTACTCATTCTTTATGATGTAAAATTCAGTTTGGCCCCGGATTCCAAATCAAAGCTCAAAAAGAAGTTCTAAGCCATCAATAAACAGTTCTGCAATAACATCCTACAACTAGAGCCTAATGAAGTGCTTCTACTCAGAATCAAGTTAACCTACAAAAAACAGTCCCCCTGGTAGAAAAGTCAATTTCTTTTATTTTTTACCAAATGGTCAAAATTCAGCTGCTCCTTTTCTTTCTTTTTTTCTTTCTTTCTTTCTTTCTTCTTCCAATGTAACACTGGATTCTAAGTTATGGAGAGGATTATTACTAGGGCAACAAAAGTGGGAGACATTTTTTCCATGTGCCTTAAGGTAATTTTCTTTCATTATATCATTTTGATTTTAGACAACATGAATTAAACCGGTTCAATATCATCTATGTACCTCCAAAGAAACCTCACTGATGTCATAATATTTATTAACACAGCAAATCCTGAATACAGAAGATCTAGAAATCCTCTGAAGAATATTCCTACTTTCTGAATTTTTTTTTTTTAAATCAAACAGAGAGGGGCAGCTACGTGGCGCAATGGATAGAGCACCAGCCTTGAAGTCAGGAGGACCTCAGTTCAAATCCTGCCTCAGACCAAACACTTGACACTTACTAGCTGTGTGACCCTGGGCAAGTCACTTAACCCCAACTGCCTAACCAAAAAAAAAAAAAGACATCTTTAAATCAAACAGAGAAAATCTCTTTTGAAGAACATCACGTGTTAGTCTTTGGAAGAACCAAGGAAAATAGTGATCATTACAAGTTCTATTGTGTAAGCGGCTGACAGTGAATTTTAATCCACTTAAATCAGAACATATATGAGATCTGATTATCTGACATCATTGCTGCATTTGCGGGTAACTTTTCACCTAAGAACTCGTGGTTACAAAACATATCTGCCCATTCAAAAAATAATTTTCAAAACAAACCTATACAGAATGGAAAAACTCATCTCAGACAGAAGAGAATTTGCACAGAAACGCTCTCTGGGATTCTGGGAGAAAAGTTAAAAATCAAGGTATTATCAAAATTTTTCAGTAAAATCATTCCTCAAGAATATCAACTCCAGAGGCCAGTAGAAAAGATCATGAGCACTCCTTCAGCCACCATAAATTTCCATAAAGTTATGCATAATAGACAATATGTTTTTCTGTTATTAGCAACCCTGAGTCTTTACCCAAGTGGATTTCAGAATCCCAGGCGATTTAGAAATCAACACATTCCACTATTACCAATGAAAAAAGCAATATGAAAAGAAGACCAGTTTCACTGGCAAACTTCTGGCAAATCATTGGTAGACACAGGCATCAGAGCTCACTCTCAACGACAGTTGAGACAGTTGAGTAGGCCACAGAACGAACACTGAGTAGCCTTCTTTTCAAGTTAGGTTTTCCATAGTCAGACACATTTTTGATGAAACAAAGAGAAAAACAGATGAATGAAATGCAAACAAGTCTCAATCATCCCCACAGTCCATATGAGATAGTTGCACCTGTACTGCTGTAAAATTTCTTTGGTGATGAAACCAAAATTTGTATTTAAAATGTGTCTCTAGAACCCAAGAAGTCTTTAAAATCCATCTGTTTATTATTAATATGAAACAGCCAATTGGCCATTATGCTAGCAATACTTAAAGAGCGTCACTATACTTAAAAGAATAAAATGTGAATGTTCACAGCATATTAAATACATAAAAACAGAATTCCCTCTAGAGGGATCTTCAGAATCACTCTCTACATAATATCCAGCAAAATGTACCAAAGGATTCGTCAACAAAGTAATGTAATTCCGTTCCTTTACTTCTCCTAACATTTTTTCCCCAGGTGAGATGTCTCTGGGGTGTCTGGGGAGACAGCCCAGGAAGTTCTTCTCCTGACTAATCCAACTGGCTCCACAGACCATGTGTCACAGCTGTTGATTAGTGAAGAAGGATTTTGTCTCCTTGCAGACAGGATTTACACAGAGTGGACAGCTTAGAGTTAACTGCTTGGAGCACATTTCATTTGATTTGATATGTGAATGAACCAAATCAGCCAGTGCCTGAAAAACAGATGATAAGAAACAAAGATTAGCTGGAACCAAAAAAGTGTACTCAGTTTATTTTTCCTTTTGTGTTTGCCCTCATCCTCACCAGAGTGTTTTTGGTTTGGGGTTTTCTTTTAGAGTTCATTCATAAGTCCTATCAACTAAAGACTACGAAGCTTTCCTTTTCTTGTAAACCTCAGCTAAAAGAAGGTTAAAACAAGGGTTTTTGGAAATTAAATACTCTCACCAATACCCCAAAATAACTGTTTTGTGGAAAGTAGATTTTAGATTAACCTTCAGTGTGCAGAGACGCAAACAGGAAAATTGGGGATAAAAGGGAAAAAAAATTAAGTATAGGGAATTCGATTTTTATTTTTTGTAATTAATTGGAACTCAAAATGTTTTAATATGTGAGAAAACCAATATTCTGTTCGAGTTTCTCAGAGGACTGCTCTACTCTATGTTCTACTAAGACAGCAGCAACATTGTGGATACCTTAGAGAACAATGGATTTCCATTAAGAGATTCTGCTCTTCTGATGTTTTCAACTCCACACTGAATCAAATGAGAAGGAAAAAAAACACACACGTTTTTATTTCTTATAGCTTTTTTTTTTTTAAAGATCTGCTACAACCAAAAACAAGCAAATAAACAAAACCACAACCCATGGTATTGGTTCAAAAGTGTCTACAGGCAGCTGTTAATTGAAAATATTGGACGTGGGCTTTAAGTTAATTGTTCATCCCTGTTATTATAAATGCCTCTTCAATTTCTACATGCCATTCTTATCCCTCCCAAGCATTATGTTTCTAATCCATTTTTGTTATCCTTAGAATGTAACTCTTTCTTCATTTAAATCTGTGCTTCATTCTTTTCCCTCCAGAAAAAATAACCAACCAGACATAGATTTCTAACACACAATTCCAACAGCATCTCGCTAGTGGTATGTCATTCTTTTTTTTTTTTCTTTTGGCATGTCATTCCTTATGTCTATCTTCATCCCTTACATGAAAAACACATTCAGTACCACAGAGCTGTTAAAATATTCATTTAATTCTCTAACAATGACAAAGTTTGGGAATCTATTTCATCTCTAAATGTTTATAAAAATAGCTTCTGTAGCCTCTTATCCAACTTGTAGGTGAGTTTAAATGCCACATATTTAGGGTTTTTTCCCCTTAATAAGAGATGAAATAATCAAGTGCATAAAAATTCTATCATGAGTGATAAGGGATAGGGAAAAGACTTGAGATTTCAGTAGGATAGGAAATTCCATGTGAAGAACATACAGGTTAATGCCTTCTCTGAAACCTAAATTTTAGAGAGTTGCATAAAGCACTGAGAGGTTAAGTGACTTGCCCAGAGTTAGTATGTCTCAAAATAAGACTAGAACACAGGCTTTCTTGGTTTTGAGGTGGCTTGTCTAGCCACTATATCTCACCAACCTCTTTTGATTCCTGTAACAGGCCTATAAGTCAATCATTTCCCCCCTAGGATAGGCACAAGAGAATGTACTACAACTGGAAAAGAAGAAACATTACTAAAGGAAGAGAAGGAATTCTGAAAATATTCACAAGTCAGAAAGAAAAAGAACTTATTGCAGTTTCCATTGTGGTTTCCAATGTCAACTAACCTGCTTCCCTTTTCCAAAAAAAATGTGTGTATCATACTGTAACAAGCAACAGCACCCTGGAGAGTAACTTCTCATGAACAATACAAAGTCCAATTTTTAGTACTGATAGACTATGGTTCCCAAGATATGTCTCTTTCATATTAACCTATTTTACTTAATTCCAGATTGCCCATTTCTGCATCACAATGATACCAAACAGAACCACAATGCTCTTTTGGCTAAGAGTAATTATAAATATTATCATAAAATAAAAAATAAATAAATATTGTCATAAAACTGAGTATCACCAATTTAAACTGAAGTATTTTTTCCTCTAAAGTATGAGAATGAAAAAGCAAATTTACTAATTAGATAGTGAGTATTTTTTAGACATGGGACAGGGATGATATGGTTAAACACAAAAAAATTTCCTACAAGTCTCATTTTAGCTAATTACAACCTTCCTACAAAGCCTTCTAACAGAGCTAGTGACAAATAGTCCTAGCACTCTTCAGCATAAGAATAGTCTGTATATACAAGTAGCTGTCCCACACCACCATTCCAAGAGCTGGCTTCCCACGTGGAAGTACTGGAGAGTAAGAAGTATTATCTGAACCACTGTGTTCCCTTCTCACCGTGCAAGGAATTGCTTAGTGGCCACAAGTGTTCCCATTACTATATTCCCCTCTCTCCACAAATGCAGAATGCATTTTCCCATAAGCTAAATATTATAAATGGTGGTTAGGTTTCCCCAACTAGCCTACAAAAGCTTATTTAACCCATGACGTAGCTTAACTATAGTTTTTCTCCATAGTGACTGACAACTCACATCCATCTTACATTACAAGATGCTAACGATGGTATTTGTTATTTCAATAATCAGATTGATCACAACACAGTGGCAAATAGCTAATTAAGTCAGTACATAAAAGAGGTCAAGAAAATTACTAGAGATGTGATTCTGTGTTTATTCCCATACTTATAAAAAACCATACAGAATTTTAAGTCATATGCCTTGTAACACATAATAGAAAAATAAAATTTTATAAAAGTCCCAAATTAAATGACAGCATCAAGGAAGAAAAGGAATTATGGCACAATAAAACCTAACTCAAATTAATGAAAAGATGCCTGACAAGATTAATGAAAAATCTGAAGTACTGACTTTTTAAAAACAGCGCAGTTTGCATATGGTTATATAGATTATTCAAACTAAGCTAAAAGGTGCTTTAATGAGTAAGAATGTTTTTCATTTGCTAATGATTCCAAGTTATACTTTAAAGTATTATTAATTATTTTAAAGTATTTCCCCCTTCAATATTTTTTACACGATGAAATTACTATATGAAGAAAGAACTTCATGAAGAACAGGAGTAGATATCAACTCAATCCCAGTTAAAATCACTACAAATTCTGAAGTAGTGGGATTCAGATAGAGTCATAGAATCATGGGATCTTAGACTTGGAAAGAGTCTCCAGAGGTCACTAGAGCTCCTCTAGTTTGACAATCCCTAACTGAATCATGGGGAGTTTTTGTTGGCTAGTACTGGGGCAGCTAGGTAGTGTAATGGATAGAGTACAGGACCTGGACTCAGCAAGACTCATCTTCCTGAGTTCAAATCCAGCCTCAGACACTTACTAGCTGTGTGACCCTGGGCAAGTCACTTAATCCTGTTCGCCTCAGTTTCCTCATTTCTAAAATGAGCTAAAGAAGGAAATGGCAAACCACTCCAGTATCTCTGCCAAGAAAACTCCAAATGGATCAGATTGCACGCCATCTTGGGGAGGGAGGGAAGAAAATTTAAAACTCAAAAGCTTATGGAAGTGATTGTTGAAAACTAAAAATTAATTAATTAATTAAAAAATAAAAGCTTAAAAACAACAACAACAACAACAAAACCCTCCAAACAGGGCCACAAAGATACAGACACAACTGGAAACAACTGAACAACAACAACAAACCAAATCACGAATTCCCTCTGAAATGCCACTAACAAGAGATCATAGCACTTCTGCCTGAATCCCTTCCATAAAAGTGAACTCATTATCTAGTAAGCCAGCTCATTTCATTTTTTAACACCTCTAGTTATTATGAAGTTCTTTTTCCTTCCTAGTAGATTCTAGTTCTGCCTTCTAGGAATCAAGAAAAATAAGATCACTCTGTCTTCTACACAAAAATCATCCAAGCCTCTGAAGACAGTGATCTTGTTTTTATATGAACAAATGCATACTCACACTTAGAAAGTCAGAAATACAGATATACACAGCAATGTTCTTTAGCGATGAAAGTTAAAAGGAAACTTACCTCATTTGCTAGTTTTTGAGCATACTCGATATCGAGTTCATACAAGGTTTCAATATGATCACTGGTAAATGCTATTGGAACTAAAAGGATATTCTTTCTGCCCCTTTCACAAAGTCCTTTGATAGTTTCATCTGTCTGTGGACCCAACCACGGCATTGGACCAACCTATGAAAATGAAATATTAGTGACAAGATAAATACACTCTGATGGGATTTACACAGAGCTGTTCATTCTGAAATCTGAACACTTATCTTGGAGGCACAGATGGAGGTACTGAAGGCAAGGAGGAAGGAGGTGAAAACAAGGAACTGATGAATTAAAAATGGTAGGGGGTTCAGTTAATTTTAGAATTTGTTTTGTTTTGTTTTTGTATGAAAAATCATTTCAACAAGCCTTTATTAAGTGCCATTAATTAGCCCTCATAATATTCAAGGCACTATGTTAAATGTTAGGAATACAAAAATAAGAACAAAATGGTAAGAGAACCTCTAATTAGGTACATTACAACCAAACTGAACTACTAGCTGCTGCCTGAACTTAATATGCCACCTCTCACCTCCACATATCTGAAAAAGCTGTCCCTGTCCCTCCCTCCTGCCCCCCATTACTGAACGCTCTTCCGCCTCATCTCCACCTCTCAAAATCCTCATCTTCCTTCAAAATTCAGCCCAAAGACAACCTCCTTCCTGGAAACATTCCCCCAGTACAGTGAAAAGAGCACTGGGACTCAGAGGACTTGGGTTCAAATTCCACATTTGACGCTTCCTACTTGTGTGAAGTGAGAAGAGTATGGGAACAAGCATTTATTAAGTGCTTACTATACACCAGGCACTGTGCTAATAAGGGCTTTCCTCACAACAACTTTTTGAAGTACATGCTATTATCATCCCTATTTTATAGAGGAAAAGACAGGTTAGGTGACTCACCCAAGGTCAGACCTCCAAAAAGTGTCTGAAGCCACATTTGAATTCTGGTCTTCCCAACTCCAGCTGCCTCAGTTTTCTACTCAACAAGATTAGACCAGATGGCCCCTGGGGTCCCTTTCAACTCCAAGTCTAGCATCCTATGCTCCCACCACTCCTTCATGATATTTTTCCTATATGTGTTATCTCCTCCCAAAGAGAACATGAGCTTCTTGAGAACAATCACTATCTTACTTTGTATTTGTATCTGTACCACTTAGATCGGTGTTCGGCACATGGTAAGTACTTAACAAATGCCTTCCCATTTACTCATACATTCATTTTTCCTCAAATTACATTTATTTCCTGCATACCTCCTATTCTGCCAACAAAAAATAAGTTCCCTGAGGGCAGAGGCAATTTTTTTCTAAGAAACTTGCATAGTACCTTTCCTATAAAAAGTATTTAGTAAATGTTTGTCGAATCAGATTTTTCTTACAATAATAAATCCCTTTAAATCAACAACCAAGTTATTTTTAGATCACTTTCTTTTCTCCTCCCTCTTCCTCGCCTCCAGTTATTTGTGTTTCCATGGTGAGTATTCAGATTTCAAAATGATCAAGCCTATGTACATGCTGATATATGTGTCATGATCAATATTTTTTAGCACTTAATCAGAGAAATGACTTTCTCTAAAGGTTGATGAACTAAAGATGTGAAAAAACTATAGAAGATTACACTCCTAAATTACTGGATTCTGACACATACCTTAGACTGCCAGACAAGTCTATATGGGTTGGAGTACCCCAGCTTCTCCATTACTCTCTGGACTGTAGCTCCTACCTCTTGAGGATAAGGATCCCCTCGATTGACTACCTATGGTCAAGAAAGATTATGTTCTCAGGCTCCAATCATACAAAGAACAGTCAAGCAAGATGTTCATGGGGTGACCTCCCAAGTACAATTAAGGAAAAACTGGATTTGGTCTCTTTCCTTTAAAATTACATAAAGGTCCTAATAATCAAGATTCTACTATTATCAGAATTATTACCAAATACATTTGTTGTACATGCAAAAAAAATGTACTGTATAGAAAAGAAGGATGGAAAGAGTCAGCTTGGTGCAGAAGTATGTGAATGTCCATCTAATATCTTTTGGAAACACGGGATGCAAGAAGGGACTTGAAAGAATAGAGGTATATTATTAAATGAGAATTAAGGTACTAATTTATTTACAGCAGTACAGAAAAAGGCTTAGAGCTGATAGGAACAAGGTGAATAAAAGATGATGCAATACAAAAAGGACTAGATTATAAACTGAAGAACAAAGACTATCTTATAATTATGCTTTAAACCTTTTTATATAGAGGGTGTTCAACAAATATGGCTGGCTGACAAAATTTGTCAAATATCTTTGGAAATGTTCAATTCAGGTTTCCTTTTAACTGCTTCAGTGACGACTTCATACCAACAAACCATTTTGTAGAATTCGGAAATATCCAAGCTACCCAGAAAGCCAGAGGAAGCCTACGAACAGGTAAATGCGAGATCGCAAGGCCAACAACTTCCCTTCTCACTGCCTCTCCTCCTGAGGGTTGTTGTATCCAGTCTCCACTGTTCTTTCTCTATTACTTCACCAGGTTTTCAGGTTACACTTCTGTTAACTTGCTTTCCCCAGCCAGCAATCCTCCCTGCCCCCAACATGCTCAACCCCTTACAGAAACAGAAGGAAATGAAGCATGAGGGAAAGAAGAGGGAAACATTATTTAGTAGTTGTTGTTGTTGTTTTTCATTCTGAATCAAAGACCTAGCAGATAGGTGGGAAAAAAGAGAGCTGAGAACCTGTAGCCCTAGGTAGAAGTTTAAGTTCGGGGCTCTTGTGCACTGTCCTCACTCCTCCACCTACAAAAATTAGAATGAGCTCCTAAGCCTGCTCTTCATTATTGAGTAAGTGGACTTTGCTATGAGGAGCTTCTCTCCATGGTCCCACTTGCCCTCCCTGACTGTCAGAGCAAAGCAGCAGCACAGGGTTCCTTGCTGAAGACCAGCAGGTGGCAGTAAAGACCCATACAAAAAAACCACCCCACCCTCCCTGTGCTCAGTCCCCCTGTCTCTGCCCCCATATCAAACCTGACAACTTAAACTACAGAAAAACAACCACAAGGTGGAGGGGCTTATTATACTTTTGAAAGGGAAAATATGCCATCTGTTAAGCTTCACTGGCCATGCTTTTAGGACAGATTCTGAGCTAGTGAAATGGACTGCAACAGATTCTACCCATAGTCTTCTTTACCATTAAGTAGTTTTATTCTTTTTGAATCCATTATATCATATTTGCTGTAATGAGATATGAACCATGCTACCAACAGGTCAAGAAGCCAAGTAAAATGCCTCTTCCCCTTCCAGTGCCTACGGCATAGGACAGTTCATTTAAGACCATTTAAAAATGAAAGGTAGAGGGCAGCTAGGTGGTACAGTGGATAGAGCTCCAGTCTTGGAGTGTCAGGAGGACCTGAATTCAAATCTGACCTCAGACACTTGACACTTATTAGCTGTGTGACCCTAGGCAAGTCACTTAACCCCAACTGCCTCACCAAAAAAAAAAAAAGGCCATTTTTCCTTTGTTTAAGAATTAAACATAAAGAAGTGAGCAGAACCAGGAGAACTTTGTACACAGTGACAGCAACATTGTGCAACGATCACCTATAACAGACTTAGCTCTTCTCAGCAATGCAATGATCCAAGACAATTTCAAAAGACTCATGATGGAAAATGCTATCCACAATCCAGAGAAATAACTATTGAGTCTGAATGTAGATCAAAGCATACTATATTCACTTTTTTTTGTTTTTTTCTTTTTTGTTCTGATTCTTCTTTCACAACATGACTAATGTGGAAATATGCTTGACATTATTGTACATGTATAACCAATATCAGATTGCTTGCTGTCTTGGGAAGGGGGGGAGAGAAGGGAGGGAGGGAGAAAAATGTAGAACTCAAAAATCTTACAAAAAAGAATGTTGAAAACTATCTTTACATGTAATTGGGAAAAAATACTATTAAATGTAAAAAGAAAAGAAGAAAAAAAGAATCAAACATAAAAAATTACTAAGAAGTAAAACAGTTACTGAAAAAAGACCTTTAGTGCCTAGCAACAGATTTTTAAAGAACCATCGCCCCAATAAAATTCTTGTCAGCCCATAAAAATATATTCCAGCAGTTTCCTCTTACCAAAATGAAGGCAATGATTCTTTCCAGAGCTAGAAGCATCTAAGATGCACAGATAATGGAAGTGACCTTAGAAAGCATCTAATTCAACCCCCTTGTTCTACAAAAGAGGAAAGTGAGTCCTAGAAAAATGAAGTGATTTGTCCAAGGTCATCTATCTAGTTAATGGCAGAGAACACAAGGCTTCTAATTCCCAATCTAATGTTCTTCCTACTACGCCTCCATCAGCTGCTGCTTCAAGAAAAATTACATAGGGGCAGCTAGGTGGCACAGTGCATAGAGAACTGGCCCTAGAGTCAGGAGTTCAAATTCTGCCTCAGACACATAATACTTCCTAGCTGTGTGACTCTGGGCAAGTCACTTAACCCCAATTGCCTCACTTAAAAAAAAAAAAAAGACATGAGACTAAGGATGGAACTCTATCTTTACATACAATTAGCTGAGACAACAAAGAGGAGCAGGAGGAGTACTGGATTAGGAGTCAGAAAACCTAGATTCAAATCCTGACTCTACCATCTATTCCTTGTGTGATCCAGGGGAAGTCCCTCTTTTGGCAACCATTTTCTCATCTGCAAAATGAGGAGGAGGTTGGGTGAGATGGTCTCTGTGTTCCTTCGAGCTCTAAACCCACAGTTACCTGCTAATAATTAATTCTTATTAAAAGTTCTTACTTACCTAGCCTCCTGCCTGTTTGTTATTCTCATTTTAAAAAATTCAACTGAACTTCATTAAGGTCATGTTAATGTGCATGAATGCTTTAAAGGTTTTGGGGTTTTTTTTTCCTCCCCTTAGGGAGAACCTGGTAGATGATATGTGACACTTCCAGGTAAGAAGTATAGGAGCGAAATACAGAAGAGCACAAAGCATACCGGTTATATTGTGTCACCAGCCACACATGTGAGATAATGGAATTTGTGTTAGCTCATCTCTCTGTCAGGTCTTCTTTCCAAAAATGTGGCTTTAACAGCATGAAATTTACTTGTCAGAGATACTTTATATTGTCCAACTGTCTTAATTATTTCACTTGACAAAGAGTTCAAGGTCCAACCCAGACTACATGAATAATGGAATCTCTGGGATCAGAAGCTTCTGCTTTTTAAGCAGAAAAGATGTTATGAAAAGCAAAGAATCAACTAGATAACACGTGTGCAATGAAAACTGTAAAAAAATGAAACTTTAAAAGGAAAAGGATGCTAATGACTGTGAAAAACAAATAGCTCCTTCTTAAATAAATCTTCTGAGAGGGAAGGAAGAGGAATCCAATGGCTCAGTTTTAGGTCCCACCATTCAGCTCTGACAAAATCCAGCAGCCGACAGTCTCAGCATTCTAACCTGAAGCTCAACTGCCTCTCAACAAAGGGTCAAGGGCAAAGGAATTTGTTCCTTTTTTCCAGTCTCCTTGATCTATGCTCCTAATTTTCAAAGGATGGTGCTTTTATTATATATGAATACATATTAAGAATACCCCTAGTCATGGATGATGGGCATTGACCAATTTGGTTATTGACATTGAAAAAGAATTTAATTTAGCTATGATAGATAAGACTGTTTTGGATATCATCCTTTGCCCATAAACATAGGAGCTATTAAGGATGAGTTGATTTTATAAGTTTATAAAATGGAAGTAATAATCATTCACCACAAAAAAAAGACAATACTATGTACAAACTTCTCCTTGATTTTACAAAATATATTTTTTTATGACTTACAGACATTGGCAGTGAGTGCGCAGAGAAAAGAATGACCACCTCTCCTCTCTTCTCCGGTGGAAACAGGTCTAATTCTTTTTGTATGTGGTCTACAAAGCACTGTGTAAATACAAAGAAAAAAAAGAAAGGCGTGAGAAAGCCAGTAGGAGTGAAGGAAACAAACTTTGGAAATAAATAAGGTATACCAAAATGTTCTCAGGGCAACATTAAAACAAAAAAAGTTATTTTTTGACAGCCAAAGGTACAGTCTTTCTTCCTTTGGTTCATCATCAAAACGGCTAACAACGGTTTTAGGGGCCTGGGGAATTTGATGGGAAACTTCTAAAGCTCACTAATGGCTCACGGAAAATGTACGTTCTGTGTCTGCTTCCCCTCGGGAGGCGCAGGGCACACTTCCAGATGGAGAGGAAACACATATGGGGAAGAGAAGTTGTTTTAAGATCTCTCATTTGCTCAGTTAGCAGGAAAATAGCTTACCAGGTCTTTCTAAAACTTCCTTTGTTTGGCTTTCAGACATATCACATTAAACTAAAATACATTAGATGGAAATAAGAGTAGGAAAAAGTAAGAAAATGATGTTCTATTTTTATGATATCTTTCAAGAGGTAGTGTCAATCCCATCACAAACATCAGAGGAAAACAATGCACAGAAATCTGCCAACTTATACAAGGTCATTAATCAGTATCAGGACCAAAATATCAGCCCCCTGACTTCAGGTCCAAAGTTGTGTTCATCATTCCAATTTTCAATAACAAAGTGCAACTTTCTTCTTTGCTTTTATCATTTATTTGTTCTGTCTTTTAAGTTAGAAGGTCAATTTACCAAAACCAAGTGTGCATTTTTGTAATCTATATATCTGTTCATGGTTCAATGCTCCATGAGTCAAACTCCTAAATATACACTGAGATGTGTAGCCCCCTTTCCAGAACCTCTGAGCACCATTAGGTAAATTACTGCTTCAATGTGAAAAATAGCATCCCAAAAGGCTTCGAAGAGTTAATGCTCCCTTTTCGATGCATATTAATTACCTCCTTAAAAAAGTTTTATCACAAGGCAGGCCCTGCCACAGGCAGTAAAACAGAAAACCCCTTCAGCATTTAGAGCTCAGACAGCCCAGGTAAGCCATGTCTGTGGCCAGAGGGCTAGGGAGAAAGTCCTCAGCAAATTCTATTTGGGAGGCTAGAAATGGCATTGATATTAGTGGCTCCAACAGATTAAGCCAATGTGTGTGTGTGTGTGTGTGTGTGTGTGACAGGGGGGGGGGGAGAGAGAGAGAGAGAGTGTGTATTGAAATTAGTAAAATTATTATTTTATTTTGTTATTTCTGGGGTAAAAATCAATTAGGTACATGCAAAACAAGAAAATGGGTTTTGATTTTTTCTGGCTTATGTTATCCTTAAGTCTTTTGTTTCATTCAAGCTTGCTGGGCTTTGTTTTGTTTTGTTTTTCTCTTCTGTTGAATGATTCTTAATACTAAGAATGAAATCTTTTATGAACTGGAATTTCATAATCATCACCTTTATACCATTTATGGAATAGCAAGCGATAAATACAACTTTATTTTGATTTAAAATTGTCTATGCCATGCTCAAAATTAAAAAGCAACAGACAAATACAAATGTGTCTCCAATCACCTAAAAAATTCCATTGGCAGCATTTTCTATATGCAATCCAATTGCACAAAGAAAGAGAAACACTGCCCTTCGTCTTCAATCACACTGTGGAGTAGGGCAGCTAAATGCCTCTGAAACTCCCTTTCATTTTATGAACAGAGACTTCCTCAGTCAAGAGACCTTTCCATCTTTCTACTTCCCCCCTTTTCAAAGAGCTGAATTTTAATGCAAATCTAATTACTCACTAGATGAGTGTGGGCAGGCAGATGCTGTGCAGATCTCTCTTTTCAGCTCTGCTACCACATGTCAGTCTTGACCTGAAACACCCGTACTTGCAAAATCACAAGCCTCTCCAGAGCAAAGGCAGAAGAGAAGAGACAGTCATGGTTCGGGTTCACATTGAAGCTAAATAAAGCAGAACCCTCTGCACACAGTCAGGAGATCAGATATACAAAACAGTCCTTGTGGCTAAAATCGGTCTCATTCCTTAAAATGGTCATCAAGCCCTAGTTTCTAGACGTGAAGTGTTATTATATTAACCTATTACATCACCTACAACATGACCTAAAGGGATATTATAGACTCTCTAAGGATCCTGACCCAAAATCACAATGATGCCGAGCACCATCTAGTGGTTATGGATTTTAAATAGGAGGTCTTAAAAATATATATGCTAAATGGACATTCTTCCAAAAGCTAGAGAACTTTCCAAGAGGCAATAGCTTCCATTTATGGAACAAAGTAGAACACATTTGCATGGTGTCTGGTAATAATAATCAACAGCATTATATACAAATAAAGTTGAGCAAACTATGCTAACACAAAGGATTCTAAGACACTGGCTGAAATAAGTCTCACTACTGTCAGGTATAATCTGTAACACAGAATGGAAACTAGTAAATAAGTCTCTACTACTGAATCACCAACACACATATGCTTTATCATGGTATGTCCTTTAGAAGCAAAATCAATATGTTTTGTATAAGGGCCCAATGATTTTATATACTTTTTCTGGACATGGTACTCAAAGATGTTGAAGATTCACACCAATGAAAATACAGGTACATCACTGAACAAAAGACAGTTAATGAACATTTATGAAACACCTACTATGTACCCAGTACTATGCTAAGCAACAAAGGCAAAATAGAGCAGGGATTTTTAATTTATTAATATTAATGTAATTGATATTAATAAATTAATAAATTAATTTATTTACTAGATTGTGAGCTCTCTAGCTCCCTGCTCTAGAGGAGCTCACAATCTAGTAAATAAATTAATTTATGTGTGACTTAAGTTTTTTAAAATAAAAGTATAAACATTTCATTACTTCTATACATGTCCCCACATAGCAAAACAAAAAACTAAACTAATGGGCAAAAAGTCTCAAGCATAATAATTGGTGGAATTAAAACTCAAAGAGAAGCTTATTTATACAAAACAAGTAGGGATAAAAACTTTATTAACACCAACAACTAAAGCTACAAACAATGTAAGTAATCTTCCATTTTACCTGAATGAAAAGAGGATGGGTAGGCCATCTGTCAATAGTACTCCACTTCATCTTTGGTTTCTTCCCAACTTTATTATAGTATCGATAAATAGCATTTAAGCTACTGCCTAAAACATATAGGCAGGTAATTAGCAAATTTTTCATAATATGAATAAATAACAGGTTTGTAGGGTCAGTAATTATAAACTCTATACCAAATTAGTATAATTATAATATTTTTTAAAAAATTTTAATGCACATAAATTAAACCTCATGGAAATGAAGATTAATAAAAATGCTCAATTACAATAGATTTTCATCATTTAGAATAGATTTTCACATTTGTGGTCTCTCCCAGTGAAAAATGCCATTGTTATTTTCCTAAAATAAAGAACATTTTCTGAGAAAGCACACTGGCATTTGTGAACAGTCAATTTACTAAAAGAAAGGGCAGGAAAAAAAAAAAAGAAACATTGAACCTTGGAATAAGTCAAAACAGTCCATCTTTGTGTACGCGTATCTTAATAAGAAGAAATTCACATATTGTCTGTGTTGGCAAACATAAAGCTCCTCCCCCGACCCTCAAATTGTAAGGCTCTACCTTAGCCCAAGTGAACAAGCAATGGGGCCAAGGGTTCAAACACACGAGACTGAAGGACTTCAGAATCTCACCCCCAGCCCTGACATGATACTTGTGCTGTGACCTTAAGATGTCTCACACCACCAATCTATTGATTGTTCTAAATAAAAGAACTACAAGAAACAGGAGGCATCCAATTTAAAATGCTAGACATGCCAGTGTCATATTTTAATTAAAATTTACTCAGGCCAGAAAGCAACCTACAAAAAGTGAGTTTAATGCATGAAAGCAGGGCACAATTGAATAGAATTACCTAATTTAAACTAACAGATCCAGGGTCAGCAGCACTATCTCCTGAAATATTATCTAGCAGTTATTACCACAAGTACACTTCAAACAAAATGTACAGGTGTGTATTAGTCTGTGCATGAGGGAATATCTGCATTAGCTCTTTTAGATCAGCACCATTTAGTGGACTAGATGTAACTATGTGAGGAGGTAAAGACATAACTGAAAGGGCTACTTGTGATCAATACATTAGAAATTAAGACATTATGGTTGTGCCACAACAGTGAACGTTTAAAAGATACCATGGATGAACAATACCCAAGTGGCCTAAGAGAATTAATGCCCCTTCTGAGTACCTCACACCTTAACAGCACAGGCATGCTTCACTTGATAAACACATAAAAATATTGACTATAAATTACATTTCTGCACACGCACTAAGATCTAGTTATTTAAAGGAAACCTGTAAAAGGAAACCTTTTGTAATTTAAATAACCAGCACCTAAATTTACCTGCCTTATAAATTTGGATTTTTATATACTGAGTTTTCTTAGAGAAAAGGGTTATCTTTAGTTTACTGAGTGAATGACTAGTATAGATTATTCCCTTATGAAATTTGACCTATTCACCAATGATATTCCATCAGATACTCAGAACATGTAGTTGGAAATTTTCCAAAGAAACTAAAATTCGACCCATTTGTTCATCTAACATTTATTTCTGAGGACCTAGGATATTTAAAAGAGTGACTAATGCTTTAGAGTCCAGGGTTTCTTAAATTTTTTCCACTCCAGGCCCCTTTGCAGCATTCCACCGTTGTGTGGCTTCTGCATGCGCAGTGCAAAGCGTGCATGCTGTGTGTTCAGAACCAAGGCCGCAGTGAAGCCGCGCTATGCAACATGGGAGAGCGCTACCACAACCACCTTGGATTCACTACACTTCTGATTTTTAATTAATTTTTGGTCGTTGCGCACTCAGAAACCTTTGTTTCGCGACCCCATGCGGTCACGACCCACTGTTTAAAAAGTGCAGCAAACAGATAGTTAATATGTAGCTAGAGTCTATTTAAGGCAGAGGGTAAACTTATCACAGTTTTTATCTCTAGCAGCAGTTTAAGAGCAAAAACCCAACCAGCTAATCTGAAGACAATGAAGTGAGATGCAAGCTTTCACTGTCCATGTGGGTGATGGTTACGTAAGAGACAAAATCCACCCACAATTAATGAGTTAGACACTTCCAAATATGGATCAATGTCTGTCACCACAGTCACAAGCATGGGAAACATGAAGCTGCACTACTTTCCACAATCAGGAACAAGGACAAACATGGGCATCTTTTCCTTGAAAATAGAAATAACTACGTCTTTTGGCTACCCTGCTAAGTTGAAAATGTAAAGAGACAATACAAAGAAACAACACACGACTGCAGGACGCAGCTCAAGGTTCATGACTGTTATAAAGCTGCACTGGAATGCTCTCGGTTACTACTACCCAGTCACCACTTTTGACTCTCAGCAGTCCAAGCAATAACTCAAGCGAGAGGTGAACCGTGATATTTCAAACAGACTAACCTGAACTCTTGCGTTTAAAGGAGACAGGCTGGATTTGCCATTCAAATCTTAAGTGATTTATCCTTGCCTTTAGCACTCTGGCTCACAGGTACATCATATTATTTTGGCTGCGAAATATTTAGTCTCCCATTTTAAAAGAGACGCCCTTACCTGTGGTAGAGCAGCTGTATTGTGGATACTGTGTGAAAGCAATAGCCCTTTCAAGCCCATCTTCCTCCATCTCTTCAATTGCCTCTTCTGTTAAAGGATGGACATACCGAAATCCAATGTAATATTTGTGAGGAGCTATTAAGAAGTACAAGGGGAGAGGAAAGAGAAAAAAAATCATTTAAAAATTTTTTTCATATTACTCTGTCCAGAATGCAATTCTCATAAATTTAAAAAAAGATTAACATAACTTCTGTGATGCTGAACTTTCTAAGGTATTATAATATTCCCTGGTGCTTATCTAGTTGTTGATTTGTACTTCCTGGGAGGAAAGTACAATTTTAATAACAGTTCTTTAAGTTCAATTTTTCATTTACTTGCCTGGTATTAGCTGGGACTATTCAGGAGCTCACTTCTCCTTATAAACACACATCAGTTTATATAAATAAACACAAAAATAAGATGTCAAATTCCAAGGGGTTTTTGGTCAATGTCGACTGATAATGAATGACTAGAATCATTGCTGCAATTTAATAAGTAAAGAAATGCACGCACACTGTGATTAGGTGACATGCCACAGATCGGAGTACCACTGGCACTAGTGTCAAAAACTATGAAATCTGAAGGGAATGCTCTTGGTGTTCTGTTGCTACCTTTTTATTCTCTCTCCATCATCTTTCTTATTACCCCTTTTTGCCCCGTTCTTCCTCCTCCTTTTAAAATAGAATACAAATAAAGCTTTCTTTATTGAGCTTATTTATTGAGCTTACATGTGCAAATTTCAAGCAAATCAAGGTCACTTTTCAAATGGTTAGAAGTAAAAGTATTTAAAAAGAAAACATAACAAGTAATTAGATTGCAACCGGAAACATTAAAGTTAGACCCTAGGAAATAACAATGATCTTGTCCTGCTTATACAAAAATCTACTAAAAATAAGAATTGCCAGGAAAGGGAATTAAGTCACCAAAGGAGTGTGCAGAATATCATTCTTTATAGATTGTTGTGAGGAATCCATTGCATTAAAGGAAGAGATCATGCCCAATATCACTCTGGTGATAAGCTGGGATGGGAGGGCAAATGGAATAAATCACTTCAAGATGCCCTGGCCAGTTGTATGTGTCTGTGACAGGCAGCCTGGTGTAGCAGAGAGCACTCGAGTTCAAGTCTAGAGTCCTGGTTACTAAATGAGCAACAGTATGACCAGACCTAAGTCACTTACCCTCTATGAGCCCAAGCTTTCTTATCTATAAAATGACATTTGCACAACCTACTTAACAAGATAGTTGTAACGATGAAATGAGGAAATGCAATGTGCATCATCACCAAGAAATACTGCAGTTAATATAAGCTACAATAATTTCTTTCAGTCAGAAGCCATAGTGAGCTGCTGTTTAGTCATACCAGGAGAAACTACACTGTAAGATGAAATATAAATGAATGACTGTTCTAATACCATGGAGTTAATAAGGAAAGTGCTAACTGTCCTTTAAAAATAACATCAAGTCCCTATTTTTCAGTTACACCAGATGATTTGAAATGTTACAGCCCAGATTTACGTGGGATTTGCTTTCTAATCTGTTTTGCGACAATACAACGATCAGTTTGACATTGTAAAGTCGCTGAATGTTGCAGGTCATCAACCATCTGCTAACATTTTCTTTTCACCTGCCTGGCATCTGAAAATTGTAGACCAAATATCTGAGGTCAGGGAGTTCTCCAAATGATGCAGACCAAATGAGGTGTGGAAGCCGCACTGACAGATAAAGGCAGGGTGGGTAACCACATATTGAAGTTCGAGAGAGCCAAATGCCTTGGAAAGAATAGATAATGCTTCCTGAACCGTCCATTTAAAGAGAGCTCACAAAAACCTATTTTAGAAAAAGTGACTACAAGATCTTCTTGATCAGGCTAGTCTAAGAAATTTCAGTGAGTGTTAATCAAATATAACATAGACTGGCTTAATTTTGTGGATGTTACTGAGAGAAATGGGAAGAAAATACTAGAAAGCTCACAAATGTTAATAAATATTACTATAAAATATAACATCAATTAAGTGACTTGAGAGCCAAGTAAAAATCCAACCTTTAAACTATTTGATCATAACTATGACTAAGAAATAAAAAGCAAATAAACTGGAGTTTTTATATAATAATACTATTAATTTAGGTTTTAATTTGTAATTTACCATAATTCAAACAGTATAAAATTCTTTGGGTAAAAATTAGAAGTACTATAATTTGCTATTTTTATGTCTAACTTTCAGGATGCAAAGTAAACCAATAGCTTACTATTGTACGATAGTAGCTTTTTCATTGAATATCTTCTTATACTTACTAGTAGCTTATTATTTGGACTTTGTATTTTTTCCTTATACTTGAAACAGGAAGGGACCCTGAAACAGAGCCAGAAAGTGGCATGTGCCAGGAAAGTCATACCACTTTGACCACTACCTCCCCTCAAACTGACAAAGGTAACCCAAGACCCTGAACCCAAGAGCCCTGAGAAAAGCAATGCCTCCTAAACCACTATCCCTGCTTCAGGACCAGCCCCTGAAATCATCATCCTATTAAGCAACCCCTAAGGAGATGAGACCTAGAAACTGCTTCTGAAAGAGCTAATCTCCCCTCCCAATTCCACCCCAACCTCTTAACAACTACAGATACTGAAGATACAGAAAAGAAAGTCCTTGGCACTGTGGAATGGGTCAAAATCAGAAACAGATATGTTTTTATCAGTGGAAATGACTTCAAAGAAGGTGTTGCTGTCATCTGCTTTCTTCCCACTGCAACCTATGGACCACTGGACATTTCCATCTGACTTGCAGCTGAAACTACATGCATACACATACATACATGTATTATATTAAAACGTATGCACAAATATATTTGTGTTATATATGTTGTATATACGCATGTATACACACGTATGTATATATGTATATCTGTGTATGTGTATAATGTTGTCTCACCTATAAGAATTGGAGCTCCTTAAGAGCAGAGACTGTCTCTGCTTTTTTATTTGTATCCCAGTATTTAGCCCAGTGCTTTGCTCATAGTAAGTACTTAAATGCTTTTTCATTCATTCATTCATTGGTCCACTAATGATACATACATAATTTATTCCAAAGATTTAGGGCAATTCTGAAACTTCCCATGGTAGCTATCAGCTATAACTGTTTCCCCCAGTAGGAGGAGTATATTTTTTAAAATATTGGTACCTGTTAGCACTCTTCATACTGTTTACATCTCTTACTATAAAGAGTTGACATTCAATATTCTGGTTTACAATGTGCTCTATATACATTAACTCATAAGACCTCATAAAAACCCAGTAAAACTTATCCCAAATTAAAATGAAAACACTAGACTCCAAAATTTCCTAGGAACTTAGACAGTATCACTTTTTAAAATACCTTCTTCACGGTTGTTTGCATGTTGTCTCCCCTATTCAAATGTGAGCTACACAAAGGTAGGGACTGTTTTTGCCTAGTGCTTAGCACAGTGCCTGTCCTTTAGTAAATGCTTCTTGAAAAACCATATCTATGGGGCAGCTAGGTGGTGCAGTGGATACAGCACCAGCCCTGAAGTCAGGAGGACCTGAGTTCAAATCTGGCCTCAGACTAAACACTTGACACTTACTAGCTGTGTGACCCTGGGCAAGTCACTTAACCCCAACTGCCTAAAAAAGAAAAACCATTTCTACAGGAACATGCCATGTTTTCCTATTCATCTTCTTTTACTTGGTCTTGCTTCCATCTTCTGCACATTTCTTTTTCTTAATCCAAAATGGTTGGTAAATTCCCTGTGAATGCAAACGAGTCTCTTCAGATAAATTCCATCTTTATCCCTCATTGGAATTATTTCCCTTTATGTAGTCACAATTTCATTCTTGAGTATCTTCCATCTCTCCTGGGCTGACTTCGAAGCATTTTACTCCACATGATCTTACCTAGCTTTAAAACAAAAATCCTCTTTGCCAAAATCTATGCTGTGTCAGATTATGCCCAGATTTCCTCTCTCTATCATGAATTCTAAGAAAGAGTAGTCACTTTCCCTAAAACTCCCATCATTTCCACACTAATAACCAGTTTCAGTTTATTAGTGAGAATCAGATCCACAACAAAATTTCCCCATGTTGGCTCTTCTACCTTTTATTTTATTTTTTTATTAATTTATTTTTAGTTTTCAACATTCACTTCCATAAGCTTTTGAGTTTTAAATTTTCTCCCTCTCCCCACCTCCCTCCCCAAGACGACATGCAATCTGATATAGGTTCTACATATACATTTCTATTAAATATATTTTCACATGAGTGATGTTGTAAAGAAGAATTAGAACCAATAGGAGGTTTCTCTACCTTTTAAAGAATGATAGAGTGATATTATCATTAAATAAGTTGAGGTATTACTAAATGTTCTACTTTTGGCAGAGTAAGACAATTCTAGTGTAGATAATTGAAATCCTCCCCTCACATCACCCCACCCCCCACTGCATCATGTCTCTGTGCCACACTTCTGATCTGCTCCTCAAGCTCATTAATTACCTCTTTCTCTCTGAGTGTTCATTCTAATGAAAAACCATTTCTGTTGCTTCCGTTTTTAATCTTTACTTAAATACTCTCCAACATACACTCCCCATTCTGGTGCTTCACATGAATATATCATCTGAATGTACAATGCCACCTCACCTGCCTTTTACCTACACTGTGTCTTTTGAATAAAGTACACCTATCCAGAGCTATAATCCAATCACGGACTATTCATCTCACCAAGTCTAAAGGATACCTAAGGGGTCAATTTGCCTCATTAAATTAGGACCTCTAGCTCCTATTGGTTGTCACCAAAACTTTGGGCATGTATTTGTATAGAGGCATTTGAAGATTTCTTCTTTTTTTTTTTAGGCAATTGGGGTTAAGTGACTTGCCCCAGGTCACACAGCTAGTAAGTGCCAAGTGTTTGGTCTGAGGCTGCATTGAACTCAGGTCCTCCTGACCTCAGGGCCAGTGCTCTATCCACTGCTCCCCTCTTCTTTATTCTTTCTGGCTACTCTCTATAGCATCTAACTTGAGGAATATTCATTGGCAGTCTTCTCCATCTTTTTTAGTTTAAAGCCCTTTTGATTAGATTTCCAAGACACCTAGAAAATTTTGTTAGGTGTACTCCAATTCTGGTCAGAAGTCTGTCAACTTTATGTTGTAAGCCACTATCCAAGTGAAACCCTCAGCAAACCTTTTTATAGCTCTTCACTTCCCAAATTAATTTCCTCTTTTATATCTCTTCCTTTCAATGGGCAACAGTGAGGAAAACACAACCTGTGCCCTATAGTCTTCAATTTATCACCTAAGACTTCAAAATCATTGGCAATAGTTTTTAAGTTCTGCTCAGAATGAAGGGATACAACTTAGAGACTGTTTTATTCACCTCAAACAATGCTAAGATGATCCCATCACTATTATCATAGACCTAGCATATGCACTGTATAATTCAACACGGTTCCACAAATACTTATTAAGGACCAAGTATGTACAAGACACATGAGAGACAGGTAGCATGGTAGTAAAAACAGAGGGCCAGTCAGAGAGACTTGGTCCTGCTTCTGACATATAATGCCATAGGATCAAGAGTGAGCCACTGAAATGCTCGGTATTCCAGGAAAATCTCTAAGATTATAAGGAATATTGTTGGAGGCAGCTATATACCAAGATTTCTCTACACTGATGAAACTTTCCCAACCTCCACTCCCTAAATGTGCAAGGAATATACCACCTTTCTCTTAAGATTTCAAAGCATTTTCCAGAGTCATAAAACATTATGGCCTTTTGTCTATACAGCCAGATGATAGCTTTTAAGTCAATCACTGATTCTGAGAACTGTAAGAAGATGCCAGTAAAGTTTGTGCAACTGCCCCCAAGACCAGAAATACTCAAACTATCACCTCTTTCATCATTTTGACGTCCTCTTCCAACTTTCCCTGACACACAGGGAAAAGCAAAAATTATCTCTAAAATGAAGTAAAGAAATATGGGAAGAAGACGCTCAGTGCCGAGGTCCTTCCTATCACTGGACCATGGACACAGTTCCAGGGTAGTGTGATACTCCCCACCCAAAAAAAATCATCATCATCATCAGTACTTGCAGTTACTAGCCTTTTATGGTTATAAACTCCTATCTGTAATCTTATTTGTTCCTCAAAACAACCTTATGAGATAAGTGATATAAATCTCATTATCATCATTTTACAGATGAGGAAACAAAACTGAAGCTCAGAGATGTTAAATGAATTGCTCAAGATCACACAGCTAGTAAAATAACCAAAAAACCTGGTTTTGAACCCAGATGTTTTGACTCCTGAATTTAACATTCTTCCCATTATAGCATGCCCAAAGAGACTTCTGGTCTGAATGAAACCATACTGAATTGTTTCCTAGTTCCACCAACAACTTGTTGTGTGACTAACAATTTACTTAACAGTTTTTCAGACTCAATGGTACAAAAATAATTTCTACCCCCATCTGCCTCAAAAGGCTAAATTAAATAAAAAATAAGGACAGAATACCTTTGCTATTTAGAGATAATAAGTGATATTTTATAGTATTTATCAAACATCTTCCCAGCAATTATTGTGATGACAGCATGAATATATCCAAACAGGGGTAGAATTTTCCAAACAAGAGTCAATAATGCTGACTTAATCCTCCAATCCACAAGGTTGTAATTTTTTCTTTACATTAACACGCATGAGTATAAAATGATTTGCCATCCCAGATTAGGTGGATATAATGCAAGACACTTTCTGTGACACTATGACAAAGGACAGAAAATTGAAATCTAAGATTGTCCTGTGTAATCCAGGATGTCTAATCATTTTACCCTCATAGTAAGGGAGAAGGCCCTTCTCTCCCTCATTTATATTCTAGCCTGACCTCTCTGCTTGTACCTGACAACTGTGTTTGAGCCTATTATGGTGATGGGTGCTATAGTAACACATAAACAGATAAAAATGGCATTTTATGCTTCCACTTTCCTCTAAAGACAGCGTAGTAATTGCAAATCTAATTTGTGTTAAACCTTTTATCAGTGATAAACTGTTAATGACTACAGAGTTCGTTCCCAATCGAGTAGGTGTGAGTGGAGGTCAGCCAAACCTCCTTCACCCAACATTTAAGAAGATGCATTGTGGCATTTGAAACAGAACTGTGTAAGAAATGCCCTTGAGCTACGGCTAAAGCCAAGAAACACACCTACCATCCAGGAATGCAACTGAACAATTTTCCAAGTGAGCTGCTATGCCAGGGGGCTACTGAGCTGGATTCAATGGTAAAAAACAGCTTCTCAAAGCGTCATGGCTGATGAGGCTGACTGAAGTCTTCTAAGGCTGATCCAACAAGAGCTGACCTTTTCCCTCAATCCAATCTTGCATGGCTAGAATCTCTCATTATGGAATTATTTTTGCCCTCACTTCTGAAATGCATTTATCCTTGTCCTGCATCCGATATATTTACTTCCTATTCATGACTTGGTGAAATGTTTACATAGCCAATCGTCTTGTACATATATATCTGTGCCAGCACGGAATATCCTAGATAATCAATCACATGGCAGATACCAGATCTACATTCTCCATACAGTGTCTACTACAGTGGTATGTACAACTATAACAATAAAAGTTTATAAAAGATTGTATCACCTAATCCTAAAAGTAGTAGTTCACTAGCAATGTCATGTTTTAAATGATGCCAAAGTAACTTGGCTCTAAACATTAATTTTGTTAGTGGCCTACTCCAAAGAAAAAGGTTGTGGGCTAAGTAAGTAACACACATCCTATGTATTTTTTACAAAGTCAATTTACTGCACTTACAAAGAATCCTCTATTCACAGAAGTTGGGATTTTTTTCTTTTTTCTTTTGTTGTTGTTAAGTCATTTTTCAGTCATGTCCAATTCTCTATTATCCCATTTGGGGTTTTCTTGGCAAAGAGACTTCAAGTGGTTTGCCATTTCCTTCTCTAGCTCATTTTACAGATGGGGAAACTAAGGCAAACAGAGTTAAGTGACTTGCCCAGGGTTATACAGCTAGTAAGTCTCTGAGACTGGATTTGAATTTGGGTTTTCCTGACTCCAGGCCTGGAGCTCTATCCTCTGCACCACCCAACTGCCTGTGATTTTTCTCTATGATGCAATTTATTTTTATATAGCCTCTGAGTTCCTTCTAAAACCAAGAATCCAGACTTCTTTTTTAATCTATATTGTAGGAACTCAAAGAGAAGAAGATACACTAAAGGATATGCATTAACTCCATAAAGAACAAAGGTCAGGGCTCCTATTCACCTTCCCCACCAAGACACACTATAAGATCTGTGTTTACATGTGGGTGATACACACATACACACACACACATACACACACAAACATGTATACACTCACTGTATTTGTCATTCAATTTTTTAACCCTCCTGAAATAAATCTGTTAATTTTGTAAAATATTTTAATAGTATTTTAATATTTAATAGTATTTCATTAACAAGTACCTGTGTGTGGAGAAAGTTCATCCAGAAGCTTTATCATGGCTTCTCCTTGCTGGGTAGTCCACTTTTTGATCGGTGAACCACCTCCAATCTTACGGTACTGCTCCTGAATTTTGGGTGTGCGACGCTTGGCAATGAAAGGGGCCAGTTTGCTATATCATTCAACATTCAGGTAAGTTGGCTTTACTTCATCTTAGCAGGCTAAGAAACATTTTTCACCCAAGAAAGAAAACAAACTAACCAAAAAAGAAGAAAACTGACCAGATAAGTTGAAAAATTCATCAGCCAGATCACTAGAAAAATTGGCTCTTTTGGCCCAGAGTAGTACAGCAGACAGAGCCAGACCTTTCCGATAATCATCAGCTCCATCTCTGCTGCATAGGCCACTCTGGCAACAGACCCTGAAATCACACCTGACTGCAGTTCTAGACCAACTGATCAGTTTGGGGATAACTGTTCTCTTACAGAAAATCTTTTGGTTCCTGAATATACCAAAAGCTATAATATGGGAGATCAAGCTACACACAAGCCCTCTGTACAAACTTTTAAAAAACCTACACATTCACGACACAAATGAGAGGCAACCACTGCTTTACTAAATATTTAGCTAGGAAGCAGTTTAGTTATAAAGGTATGTCCAATCAACATTATTTCACAACCGTGTTTATAAATTCTAACAAAACCCCTTAAAAGAGTATCCATTTGTAATATTTATAACATTGTTCCTATTAAACAGTTGCTCCCTGTAATGATGTTTTGTCTAATGTGCTTTCACAGAACCAATTAAAGAGGATATGCCTGCATAAGCACAATGCCTCGCAAAGAGTAGGCACTTAATAAATGTTTCTTAGACTGGTACGATTCGAATAACAGATATTTATGAGGCAATTTGGATTTGGATTTCTGAGGCTAATTATTTAAACAGTGCGCATGCTCTATGTGGAGGAAACAGTCAAACAAGAAGATACACACAGAATTAATTCTTTTTATGTGGAGTTCTTCCCGCGTCATTTTCTACCAACTTAAGTAACAAAACAGCTCTACCAGCATCTCCATCCCTTCCCAAAAGAAAAAAAAATTGTATTAAAATAATCATGATAAAAGTAATATGCTTTCATTAGCAAACAATCATATGCTTAAAGGCTAAAAAAAGTTCTTAAAAATTCAAAAATATAAAGATACAAGGCTACAGAGATATGTATATCTTACTCTTGTACAGGAAGCGACATTAGGTCTCTGTCCAGGAAAAGCCTCAGTAGGAAGTCATGAACATCTCCCAGTGTCTCTGGGCCTCCCATGTTTAGCATTAATATTCCGGTTTTAGGCTTCCTATGTAAAGGAATATAAAAGTTGGTATAAAAATGTTCTTATTTTCCTTTAGAGCTTAAATATACTTAAGCTACCACTGTCTCATCAAACTTTAATGTAAATATGAAATATATTCTTATATAAAAATTTGAGTTAAAATATAAGGATTCATTTACCACAATTACTCATGTTAATAAATATACATCAAGCTACCCCCTCTCATTAACATCATATTATTAACCATTACTTTAACTATCAATATTCCTATCATTAGCTTTCCCAACTCTGTACTTTCTTTATCATGAAATCTTTTCACAGTAAGGTCCTAGCCTTCAGCCCAGGTTGAATATTAAAAATCTTGGACATAGACACAGGGTGAATACAATAATAAACCAATTCTCATGACTTTCAGCCTTGAAACTGAATTTATTTAGTATTTTATTTTCCCCAATTACAAGTAAAAACAATTTTTAACATTTGTTTTTAAAGCTTTGTGTTCCAAATTCTCTCCCTTTCTTCCTCCCCATACCCTGCCTCCTTGACAAGCAAATCAATATAGGTTATATGTGTATAATCACACAAAACATTTCCATACTAATCATGTTGTAAAAGAAAACACAGATAAAAAAAAAACTCAAGAAAAATAAAGTAAAAAAGGTATGCTTCAATCTGTATTCAGACACCATCAGTTCTTTGTCTGGGGATGGACAGCATTTTTCATCTATGTCCTTCAGAGTTGTCTTGGATCATTGTATTTTAGCCTTGAAACTGAAATGAGGCTCAGTCTTTTTTGATCTGAGAGTCAAGTCAAAAATATAGAATTGGTTAGAAAAAACTGCCACGAAGAGATGAATTTATCTTGGGGATCTACTAAACAATCTTTGCCCTTAAAACAATTCAAGATTTCAACCACATAATACACGATAATTCAATGAAACCTCAAGTTGGCTATTTTTTATAAGTCATTCTTCTTGCATATGACTCTAGCTATAAAACTTCTTCCTTCAAAATATGGTTGCCAGATGCCTTCCACATAGATCACAAAGCAATTAATCCCAGTTCCAAAAACCTATACAAATGTATACATGCCTTTCTTGTTTTCCCTACTCCTCCATCACATGTTTTTGTTAGCCAATTAATTTTTTTGTTTTTAAATTTCATTTTTTGAACTTAAACACCAAGCAAAAGAACACAGAGAATATAAAAACACTATATGAAACCACGACTTTTTATTTCATGCCACTTTTTAAAAAATTTATTTACTAATTTATTTTGATTTATCAGCAATCACTTTCATAAGCTTTTGAGTGTTAAATTTTTCTCCCTCTCCCTCCTTATTTCCCTCACCAAGACGGCACACAATCTAATATAGGCTATATATATATACATTCTTATTAAACATATTTTCACATTAGTGATGCTGTAAGTAAGAATTAGAACTAAAAGGAGGAACTACCAGAAAGAGGAAATAAAACACAACAAAAGAAAAAAAACAGCAAATAGTTTGTTTTGATCTGCATTCAAACTCCATAGTTCTTTCTTTGGATGTGGATAGCATTTTCCATCACGAGGCTTTTGGAGATGTCTTAGATCCCTATATTGCTGAGAGGGGTTAAGTCTATCAAAATCAGTCATCACTCAGCTGTTACTGTGTACAACGTTATCCTGGTTCTGCTCACTTCACTCAGTATCAAACCATACAAGTGTTTCCAGGTTTATCTGAAGTCTGCCTGTTCATCATTTCTTATAGCACAATAGTATTCCATTACTTTCATATATCACATTCACAATTACAATAACTATCTGTGTCTTTCTCTTCATCCTTTCTCCCTCTCCCCCTTTATGCTTTTCTTTCTCATTTCTCCTTTTCCCTCCTCACTAATGTTTTGCTTTTGACCACCCCCTCTCTCAGTCCCATCTCCCTTCTATTAGCTCCCTCCTTTTTCTTTCCCCTTTTTCCTCCTACTGTCTATAGGGCATGTTAGATTTCTATACTTGATTACGTTATTCCCTTCTTAAGCCAAATCTTATGAGAATAAGGTTCAAACAATACTCATCTCCCTCCCTTTTTTCCCTCTGCTGTAATAGGTTTCTGTGCCTTTTCCTGTGATGTAATTTACCCTTGTCTGCCTCCTCCTTTCCTTTTCTCTCAGTACATTTTCTTAGTTAGATCAAATTAATTCACTTACTTTGGATCCATTTAACCCACTTGATTAGATTTTTTTCATCATTACATCAGTCAATTTACACCCACCCCCTTTATGTATACCCCTTTAACATGGTATAATAACAATACCGTGCTCAAGAGTTACCAAGTGTCATCTTCCCTTGTAGGGATGTAAAGAGTTTGCCCTTATTAATAACATGTTCTTACTTTCTGTCCTGTTTACCTTTTTATGTCTCTCTTAAGTCTTGTATTTGAAGATCAAATTTTCTGTTGGGCTCTGGTCTTTTTATCAGGAAGGTATGGAAGCCCCCTATTTTGTTGAATATCCATCTCCTCCCCTGAAAGATCTCACTGGGTAGTTGATCCTTGGTTGTAATCCAAGCTCCTTTGCCTTACAGAATATCATATTCCATGCCCTATGGTCTTTTAATGTAGAAGCTGCAAGGTCCTGTGTAATCCTGACTGTGGTTCAATGATATTAAATTGTTTCTTTCTGGCTGCTTGCAGTATTTTCACCTTGACCTGGTAATTTTGAAATTTGGCTACTATATTCCTTGGTGTTTTCAATTTGGAATCTCTTTCAGGAGGTGATCGGCGGATTCTTTCTACGGCTATTTTACCCGCTGATTCTAGGACCTCAGGGCAGTTTTCCTTTATGATTTCCTGAAAGATACTGTCCAGGCTCTTTTTTTCATAGGGATTTTCAGGTAGGCCAATAATTTTTAAATTGTCTCTCCTGGATCTATTTTCCAGGTTAGTTGTTTTACCAATGAGATATTTTACATTTTCATCCATTTTTTTCATTCTTTTGTTTTATTTGACTGATTCTTGCTCTCTCATAGAGTCATCAGCTTCCATTTGGCAAATTCTAATTTTTACAAATTGTTTTCTTTAGATGTTTTCTATTAGATTTTGTACCTCCTTCCCCATTTGGCCAATTGTATTTTTTAGGGACTTGTTTTCTTCAGTGTATTTTTTTTTCCAGTTGGCCAACTGTATTTTTTTAAGGACTTGTTTTCTACAGTTAATTTTTGTCCTTCCCTTTCCGAGCTATTGACTATCTCTTGCATACCTCTCATTTCTTTTCCCATTTTTTCTTCTCTCTCATTTGACTTTTAAAATCTTTCTTGAGCTCTTCTAAGAAGGTTTTTTGAACTTCAGACCAGTTCATATTCTCTTTTGAAGTCCCAGATGTGGGTTTGTTGACAATGTTGTCCTCTTCAGAATTTCCTCCCATAATAAGAATCTATTGTACATTTCTTTTTGCTCATGGTGTTTGTTTATTTCCTGGCCTTTAAAGAGACTGGGCTCTCCTGCTAGGGAGCAGAGGGCACTGACCCAAGCTTCTTGTGTTGGGAGCCTAGGACCTGGTCGATGGCTTTGTGTGCTGGAGCCTCCAATGTTGGCAGTTGGAGGCTGTAGGGTTCTGGCAGCTTACCTGGTGTTGGGCTGGAAACTGCAATACTGGAACTCTACGGATAGGATTGGGTAGTGTGGCTCCTGGAGATTTCTTGCTCACCCAGGCTTTTCCCTCCTTTTGCTTTCTTCAGCTCTTTTCAGATGGATGTTGTAGGGTGTTTATCCACCTGGGGCCCCTTGGAGCGCTGCTTCCCTTAGTTTTTCTGAGGCACTGGGAGAGCAGGTTGCTGTAGAATGCCGAGGCACCTGGTGGTTTCCACCAGTTCCCCTGCCCTCGATGAGGCACTCGGGGTCCAGGTGTTGGTACTTGCCTGCTTCACCACCTGGGCTTCAGGATCTCCTCCTGGTATGCTGAGGTGGGCTTTCCACTAGCTTGCCAGAATGCCTCCTGTTCTGTACTACTCCCCTTCCCCAAGGGTAAGAGGGGCCTTTCCAGTTAATCCCTCAAGCTACCTGGGCTACTGGACTGCTGTACCCCATCTTTCTTCTGGATCAGCTGTTCCAGGGTTTTTCCTGGGGTGAAATTTTCGAGGCTTTCAGGGGTCAATAAAGAAGAGTAAGAGAGGCATACCTCTTACTCCACCATCTTGGCTCCCGGAAGCAGAAGCGTCTTCATGCCACTTTTTAAAGTATATAATTCTACATGCTATTTTCAAAACTGCCCTGCTTGTCTATGCTTCCTTCTGAACGTCCTTTTCTTCTCTTCTGTGCATTTTTAAAAATGGTTCAATGGCCCTCTTTTAGGGGGTGGCAGCAATGTTGCTGCCCCTGTCTTCCTAACCTAGCTCCCAATTAAAAAATTGAAATGGGGAAAAACAAATCCCCCCCCCAAAAAAAACTCCTTGTATATTAAGTATAGTTAAACAAAACGCATCTATACAGTGTCTCTGTACCTATTATAGTCCATCATCTCTAACACATTTCAACATCTCTCTTCTCAAGACATGCACTGGTCAGGTGCTTTATTTCACAATGTTGTTATCCTTGTACAAATTTTTCTCAAGGTTATACTAATTTCACTCTGAATCACTGCCTATTACCCAATATTCTCTACAATGATTTACCATTGCAAGCGTTGATTCCTCTTGTCTCTCCTATGATCATTCCCTTTTAGTCTCCTTTGCTGAATCATCAGCCCGCTCCATCCACTAATCCAGAGTTTGCTGGGATTCTTCTCTCTCTCCCTCTCTGCTGGTGATGTCATCAGCTCGCATTGTTTTAATGAGTACTTCTGTGCAGACAGTTCTCAAATCTATACATCCAGCCATAATCTCTATCCTGAGGTTGAGTTTTACATTACGAAATGTCTCCGAGGCATCTCTAGCTCCCATTGGCACCTCAAATTCAACATGTCCAAAATGGATATTGCTGTATTTTCCTCAACACTTTTCCTCCCTCCAAACCTCTTTAATTCTGTCAAGGACATCGCCATCCT